ATTGATAATTGCCACATCCTCTCAAATATGATCTAGTTTGATGATACCTATGTGAGAACTATCGAGAAACTATTACTGATTTTTATAAGTACCGCGGTATATCGTTAGTACTGCTAGCAAACATGTGACTTGAGTCAACAATTACTTTTCTTTTATTATAAATGTCACTTTAAGTTTTCAATAAATATTTATTTTTAACAAGATATTGAGTTTTTATTTGAGAACTCGAAGCATAAAAATTAAATTGATGAAAGATGTACGTGACTACTGAAAGAAAAACAAAGTAGTTTATAAGATGAAACGTCATAGAGAACATTTCAATGGAAGTAATGCACTTGAATGAAACTCAAATTTGTCCAAGTCATCCAAAATTACATTAATATTTCCTCTGTTTAGGACAATAATTCATTCTCTCGAATGTTACATCAACTATAACATAATCGTAAAAAATACATATCGACATGATATTTTCCGTTAAAAAGAGAACAATATCAATCGTTAATCTCTTCCTTTCATACAGATTGAGACATTCATGAGATGCCTACTCATTTTCTTAGCAAACAGAATTTCATGTGTGGGATGTAATCAAGATAGATTGATGCATAGAAAACAACCCTACTGAGCTTACCTGTTTATATATAAAAAAGAAGAAGAAAAAAAGAGATTTTCATTTACTATTCAATCTTACTTCTATCAAACTATTTACATTAAAATATGAAATCTTGGTATCGATGTTTATGTATATTGTTCATTGTTATCTTTCATTTCCGATTTACTACGGTAGGTTTCTATGTATAGCTTGTTTGATACTTTATTTTTTAATTCAGGCTTATCCTCCATCAAATAAACAAGACCAACGAAGTTTTCTTCTTTGTCATTTATCTCCAATATCATGCAAGCGTAGTCTGTCTGACACAGATGAGATTGAAAATTTATTGAAAATGAATATTAATGATGATCTTCAAAAGTGTTTTGCTATAAATAGATCTTTATGGTCTTGTTTTGATCAATTATTATTTTATAGACTACAGCACAAAAAAAAAGTCAATAAAATAAATTTGTCATTTGTTTGATTGTATTCCTTTTTCTTTTCTTTTTTTCTTAACTTTAGTCTATACAATACAAGACATAAATAGGAAAAAGAATATTTATGTCTGAAAGAATTTGAATAAAATTGAATATAAGAAAAGAAGAAATGTCGATAAAATTTTGATTTTTGATAAAATAAATCGAGAATGATATGAATAATACAATAAATTTATTTATTTTAATTATGAAATCTTTGCAAATTTATCATACTGGCAAATTTAATGTAAAATAGATTATATTCTCAATCAATAAATTCATGATCGAAGAATGAGGATATATATTAATGAGTCATATGATATCTATAGATAGTTTAGATGAATTGTGAAAGAGTTTGAGAGAAAGTTTTACTATAAGCTGGTAGTGTATATGTCTGAAGAGATATAAATATTTGCATTTTTTTTCTATAGGAAAAATTAAAATATATTTTACGTCTGATAGAATTGATAGAAGAACAGAATAAAAGAAGATGAACAAATAAACAGAGCAAATTTTACACATGAAGTATTGCAATGCAAGATAATATCAGAATAATCAGCATTAAATTATATGAATACCTATCAATTATATACCTCAACATGTATAATCTTCTTACAATTTCAAACATTTGATCTATTAGATTTATCCAACTGTAACCTTTGAAAATTAGGGGATGCCGATTCAACAACATTACCAACAGTGATGTTCATTCAAATGCGTAAAGCATATGTAAATGCAGGATTCATTACTCCTTATTGAAACACATAACTGTAATGAAACTTATTCAAAAAAAAATGTCATTGTCTAGCAGCATCAATACAGTGTGATACTACATGTTATTCATTAAAAAGAAAACGTTGTTCAAATGTCTCATTTAAACTTTTTGAGATGTACAAATAATAAAGTTTATACGATGTGTTCAAGAATAGTTATAATTGTCCTATGGAAAAAAAAACTGATATGTTAGTTTATTCTCCATCAACTATCTCAACTGATTATAAACTTTTCACTTCATCTTTTCTCTAAAAGTGAATCTCAGTGATAGATTGAAAAAATTTTTAAATCGTTTGCACTTATACTTGTTCGGTACCGAGATTTTATTAATCTTATAATGACGAAAAAGAATCATTTTTTTATTTTCTTTTTACATTACCATTCTTCTGTGATTCTAACAATACTATTTTATTCTTAACTAAAATATGGCATCGACATAGTATTATGAAAAAAGTATCTCTCATTTATTTCTAAATTTATTCAATACACATGAATAACGAAAGATTTATCTTGCAAATTGTTCATATTAACACCGCTTACTTCTCCTTTGACTTGTTTCTATAAAATGAAGAAAAGAATCGAACTTTTGACTTGATCTCTTTTTATAACGTCAGAAGATTTTTTTTTTTGTTGTCATAATTTCTATAGGACTCAGAATATTCAGTCTGATTGTCTCAAACAACGACTTTAAACGATAGCATATAGTTCATATCCATCAAAAGTCGATGCATAGTATAAGGACCATATTTCAACGCATATTGTCTTGTTTAAATCGGCTTATGCCACAAACAATTCACTTTAATTACCCGCATTTCACTCTTGGCAAGATCGTACTTATGTTTTCTAATATTCTATAAAGCATTTCATTTCATAAATAGAAATTTTGAATACAAATACACCACTACACGTCACATACAAAGTAGGTTTGTGAAGTTGTACATTCAATCATAGTAATTATATTTACTATACGTCATGTAAGATAAAACTATCTTTCAAATAAAATAGTTCACTAGTCAGGAAAAAGTAAATTTTTATGTATATACAGAATGAGCCAATAGTTACTTACCGTACAAAAAGCTCAATATCTTCGCCGTAGCTTGACCCGATGGCTTGATGTTTTTACTGATGATAAAAGAATTTCATAGTTCATATCTTTGAAGAAAATGTTGGAAAGAACCATGTTGAAGGATCATCATTAGCTTCAACAAAACAAAAACTCCTATTCTCTCTTATAGAGTGTCAAAAAACACGGCATACTACACTTAACGAAAGATAACGGATAAACAACACATTGAATGATATTAGAAGAAAGAATATCAAATAAACGTATTGAGAAAGCAAGTGCGAGTATACCCGATCGCACAGGAAAGATAATAGTGTAGATGCGGGTACAAGTACACGTGAGTGCTTTGTCTTTACATTCACTCACATAATAGGAAAAACGGTTCTTTCCAATCTTTTCTCCACAGATATGAATTATGAACACTTCTGTGTAGTATCGGCAATAAATCAGCCCATTTTCTCCAGCTATGATGCAGATTTTCAACTATTCGTACGGTATTGCAAGTTTTCGCTTATTTTATATTTTATAACAAAACACTCACTACAGATACTCTTCGCCGTTCTGAACATCATATTAAGAAAAAAATGAATAAAAATTACACCTGATAGAATTATCAAGACTAATCTAGCATATATTGTTACAAATATCCAGTGATGTTTTGAAAATTCTTTGTTGATTTGATATAAAAATCATTTGGAATGACGATCGTTTACATCGAGTCTTACATCATAATCGGAATGAATATTGTTCATTACCTTATTTTTCCATTTCAGAGTGCATCCTAAATGATCATCGAAATGACATTCTTTTTTCACCATTTTTGAATCGTTAACGAGGCGTTCTATACAAACTGGAGTTGATTAATACTATTAAATTACATTTTCTTCACATCTAAGTAAAATATAATATCATTTGACTGTTTTGTTGCATTAAAGAAATTGATAGAGACTAGAATTTTTCAATTTTACAGTTGTCGAAATTCAGTAATTTCAGTTTAATTAATCCTGCAAATTTTTAAGATCGCATATGAGTCCTCATTTGAAAACAGTAAAAGAGAACGTCATTCATTTTTCACCTTGACGCTAATTGCATACCTTGAACAATGAGCCTTAGATATGAACATGTTTTGGATTTTCTTGGTGTCATTGAGATGTGCACATAACGAAAATATGAGATTAAAAATTGAGAATCAATTGAAATACTTTCTTCATAAATATCATTACTTATCATCTTACACAATAAAAAAACGTTTACAAGACTAATCAGTTTATATTAAAAAATTCTTATTTCAAAACTTGCACTATCTAAGTCAGTTGGCAATAATTCTTTAGTTTAATGTTCATTTGCGATATAAAATTTTGGTGAAAGCATTAGAAAAATAAGATGATAGTGTACAGATAAACATATTATACTAATATTTATTTTATATAGAATATGATCATGAAAATTATTCGATAATATAATTGCATAATCAATTATTTTCCTGATTCCACGGAAAATTTCTAAAGCAGTGATGGAAGTCTATCTTTCAATTTGAAAATAAAACTTTTCATTTTTATATCTTATCTACACTGTGAATATCTTCTTTTTACTATGTTAATGAGCTATAGACATCTACTTATTTAAGATTGCAAGTATCAATAACACTATGAAAACATAGTCATATGAATTATAGATATTCAGTATAATAATACGTCTGCAATTCCATTTTATTATTGTTAAAAACTGAAGTTTTACAAAATTGAAGAAAAATTATCAAACTTTCACGTAATATTATACATATTCTATTTTTATTTTCAGCACCATATACCATTCAATAATTTCTGATGGCATAAATTTCAAGTCATCGTTTCGTTCCGCTCTTATATTGTTAACAAATGCTTAGAACTAATCTCTATTTCTGACATTCGTCATAGCAATTATGTTGAAATCACACTTAAATTCTTTTTTAATAAAGTTTAATATTATCCTTTCTCTGTCATTTGACCAATAAACATGCAAGATGTATTCACACATTTCAATTCTTTTCATAGGAAAAATACGATAAATCTATGGAGACATTTGTGATAATCATAAGATATTAGTCGATTGAAACACAATGAACAATGCAAGTATAGAAATTTGCTCTAGTAAATTGATCTATAACAATACATTACATATATCATATATTATTTGGCATATATGTGGTTTTTTATGTACAATGATTGGTACACCTGGTCATTTATTTCAAATATTAATTATGTCAAATCAAACCAATCGTAAAGAATCAACATCATTATATCATATAGCTATTGCTATATGTGAATTAATATTTCTCTTTGGTTTGTAAAAGTTTTTTTTTTTTTTAATATATACTAGTAATTAGTTTGAATTTGCATTAGTATTGATGTAATAAGTTTTTATTTATCGTGAACATAGGAATGTCAAAGTAAAAAAAATTCGTATGATTGATAATTTGCTATATACTTCGATTAATAGAATGTGAAATCGACTCAATAGAAATTGATTTACGTTAACTTTCTTTCTATTAAGAGGAAATATTAATTTATACAAAAGTGTTTCAACTAATACGTCAGTATGTGCTTCGAATGAAATTTAGGTTAATTTATTTATTAAACTAGACCCTTGATATAACAAAAAATTCAATAGTATTCTTTTTTACTTCTACTTTAGTTATTTTCTTAATAATGAACATTTTTTCACGAAAACTATACATTTGAAATTCATGATGTGTAGAGTAGTGGTTTCTGTTGCTTTTAAAACGTTAAGAACAAATAATGTAATGATGTTTTTCTTGAATAGATTTAGTTGAAATAGTAATTAATTATTTTGATCTAATTAACGAGCTTAATAGAATAAATGATTATCTATATTCCTAGTGAAGCATCTTGTAAGTAAAGCCTTGGTCAAGAGACAAGATACAGAAAACTGAACAGATCTTGAATACAAATGAATCTGATGCAAATGAGGTATAAAATATATAACATATCTTGCTTAAGACTGAAACTTCATAATGCATTCTGAAGATTAATTTATCACTGTTTAGAACTAAATTGTGTCGACTTGTTCAAGAAAACATGATCTTCATTCAAGAATGTTTATGTAGACGATCATTCCCTCAATTGAACATTAGTCTTTAAGTTAGTTTGTTGTACTTGTCATAGAAATTTGACGTCATATTCAACGGCAAATGTACCATCAGATAGGCTATTTGAGAATTATTTAGAGCCATATATAAATCGATTGTAGTCATTCTTTATCGACCCTGTATGTTTTAACTAAGATCTTATAAATCTCTATCCAAAAATCTAATTATAAGATATTTTGCGAGAGATATATTTCATTGTTCTTTACTTTAAAACTTTAGTATTTATATGTCGACTGCGAATGCACGACTGCAACTAGTCTATGCTATTTTTTATTCTCTAAAGTTGTATTCATGTTCAATACATGCTGAGAGGAAATAGACAATGTTTTCTATTATTATTAGCACCTATATTGTTCTACAGTGCTTTTTCTTTCTTGCTATTATATCGACGAACGAGAAAATAGAAACGAACAAGTAAAGAAATTAAGGCAACAAGAGCAACGAGAAGAAGATAGCACCATCTTTTTTTAATAATAAGTTGAAGGTAAAAAGAAATATTGCCTATAAGTCTCAAGTCTTGATTAATATTGCACATTAGATTAATTAGTGACTATAATCAAAATTGTTCTTAATAAGGTTCAACATTATAACTATAGTCAAAAACTGTAATTAAAACTGATAGTTATATATTTGGATGAAAGTTATAACAATTTCAACGTTCAACCAGTTTACTTTATTCTGAAAAGTTCAAAGATATACTTTAAATTTGAAATTGTACACGCTTGATAGATATATGTTCGATAAAAATCGTTAAAATTTTCCCTTGTCAGTCGTAGCTGTGACGATAGGAAAACTTCTTGTGGTGCGCAGTAAAGAATACATCTTCTTATTCATGATCAATGGCAGTAAATAAATTACGGGAAAGTGTCACTTACAATTGAATACATGAAAAAAAAACATTCAGAGAATTATCTATAAATATTACGTTTTAACTGAAGAACAATGAAATATATAATTAATTAATTCTATCAAACATATCAATGAAATCAAAAGATTAATCAAGTCAAAATGGTTGATAGTCATCATCAAAGTTTTAAGCATGTTAAAGTTTTGACGTTATTCTCAACTGTCAACTTTTTAAAGAACAGTTCTAACTCTCACAACATATTGAATTATGTGTCTGCAGAGAGTATTAGATAGTTTCCTACATATTTAGAATGACAAGTTAATAAGTAATCACCAAATAAAATAGAATTTATATTATACATTAATAGAATCTCGTAACAGTAAATGACTGATTGATCGAAACTCTGAAAATTCTCTTTGAAAGTTATGAAATACAAAGCATAGATAGAACTCATCCATTAAATTATCTTTCAAGTTGAGATTTATAGAACATGGAAAGAAACACTACACGCAACCAATCTCTAAGATTCATCATAATGAGAAGATTTTTGAAAACATAACGTCTTTCTCTATTTTAATATCTGAGAATAATAAATTGCCTTTAATAGGTGTCTTTTGGTTATGGTGTGTTGATATGTCTATAATTAAAACTGATCCTCGAGAAATATTTTCTTGTGGCATATTCTATAGTATTCTAATTGGTCCAACAATATTATCAAATCTATATTTAGCATCTATGTCTATTGATCAAAGTTTTATGATACTTTATCCAGCTCATCATCGTTTACTTATTACTCGATGTTATGTTCTCAAATGTATACTTTTAATTTTTATAGTAGTTATATTATTTATGATTCCACATCAT